CATTTAATCAATTAACATCCATTAGTTTTTTACAAAGTAATATTTACTGCAAAGATATGGTAGGAACAGAAGTTACAAAATATTTCTCCCCCCAGATGTGATAGCTACACTCTCTTGTCTATCACCCTAGTCCCTGAGAAGAGTGGACCCAAGCTTAAAACATTTGCTACAAAGCATTTGCCTCACTAAATTTACTTCCAAATACAGCATCTAACTGATGGATGAGTCCATTTCTCTGCTTCTCCTAGACTGAGTCAAGAAGGTACTTTTCAGGGTTTCAGAAGCTGCCCCAACCACGCTCAGCCTTCCCAGAAATCCCCACATGGACTCTTGGAGTTTGCTGTCCTGACCTTTGAAAGCTTACAGAGTCATAGCCATCATCTTTCTAAAAGCAGGGAGAATAAGTACAATAGAGAAGAAAGCAACAGAGGAGTCATGCATTCACAGACCACATGGCAGTCATCCCAGTAGGAGCAAAAGCCTGAGAACTCTCTCTTTCCTAAAGGCTTACATCAGTCCTTGTCTCTTCATTTGAACACATGCAGTAGGAAAGAGCAAGGCACTGTCTTTGGCCAGTTAGTGTCTTTTGAATGCAACCTAGTTTCTACTGAGTAGCCAATCAAAAGTATGTCTCCTTACTCCATGGCAAACTAGAACAGGTTAGAGAATACTCCAAAGTCCATCTAGGGGTTCCGTCAGCCCATGCACATTGTAAACGCTCATTAGCTCTAGTCTGGCTGGTCTCCATTACACAAGTCACCCCCACCCAAGGACTAGCCTTCTAAACAACTACTTATCCATTTAACCAAAGACCAAGAATCTGCATTGTGCAAGTGTTGATTTGATTTCCTCCATTAACTTTTTAGTTTCTCTGCAGAGGGTAGACTGATTACATTTTCCAACAGATATTTACAAAACTATGTTAGCAATAATTGGAAGTAAGTGTAAAAAGATGATATTTGTAAAATGCTTACCACAGTGCCTGGAACATAGTAGGTGCTTAATAAATGCTTCCCTCCTAAAAAGGACCTAGTTTATAAATGATTCTCTGGTAAGTGCAAAGGGAAATTAACTCAGTGTCAGGAAATAAGGATTCTGGTTCTAGCTTTATAGCTAACTTTGTTCAGTTGTTTTTCGGTTGTGTCTGACTCTTCATGACCCCATTTGGGAAATAAGACACTCATAGAATAAATAACAATTAACAAAAGGAAGTTTATTCAACTATAGCAGGGAAAGGACAGTGAGCAAAGATACAGAATTGATTCAGTTGGCCAGTTTCCCTACTGCTCTAGTGGCTATGATAGTGTGTTGGTCAGAAGCCTGTGGGAAGAGCTCCTAACTCCTTGTGAACTGGCTTTTTGTACCTTGGTCATCAGGAAGCTATGTCAAGAGTCTGAGACAAGTCTCAAGTAGAGTTTCAGTAACTTTAAAGAAAAAACTAGCTTAGTCTACTTGGGAAATATCACACTCTAACTCTTGGTAGAAAAATCCTAAATGTATTCTAGATATTCTCAATGTATTCCACCATTTAAATGTCATTAGAGCCATTACTAGATGGTTAATCAGACAATAAACATTTATTTAAGCACCTTCTATGTGCCAGGCACTGTGCTAAGTGCTAAGGATACAAAGAAAGGTAAAAGACAGTCCTTGTTCTCAAGAAGCTTACAGTCTAATCATGGAGACAACACGCAAACAAGTAGGTACAAATAAGTTGTATACAGAATAAATGGAAATAATCAACAGAAGGAAAGCATTAGAATTAAGAGGGATTTGGAGCCCTTATCCCTGGGAAATGAGACATTTGCTAAATACAAGCCTGGAGGAGGAAAAGAAAATTGAAACTGAAAAGTAGCAAAAGGAGGTTTACTTGGGCATAGCAGCAAAAGTATTTACAGCATTGATTCAGTTGGGCAATAGCTTTACTTCCCCAGCAGTGTCTTCTGGATGAGGATCTTGCCTCATACTTCACCAAAAAGTTGAAAACATTAACAAAAAACTCTTTCTGTCCTCCTTATCTCATATTATTCAGACATCTTCCAATTCTGTTTTCTCCTTTGCCCCTCTCTTATATAAAGAGGTGGCCCTTCTCCTTGCCCCAGCAAATCCTTCTGCATGCATTTTTTCTTTAAAATTTTCAAATTATTTATTTTTAACATTCTTTTCTTTTTAAATTTTGAGTTCCAAATTCTCTCCCTCCCTCCCCCTTCCTCTCCCACATGCTGAGAAGTCAAGCAATATGATATTAATTATACTTGTGAAATTATGCAAAACATATTTCCACATTAATTGAGGGGATGTCTGTCAATTGGGGAATGGCTGAATAAGCTGTGGTATATGATTGTGATGAAATACTATTGTGCTATAAGAAATGACGAGCAGGATGCTTTCAGAAAAACCTGGATTTACATGAACTGATGCAAAGTGAAATGAGCAGAACCAGAGAACATTGTATACAGTAACAGCAATATTGTATGATGACCTACTGTGAATAACAACTATTCTCAGCAATACAATGATCTAAGACAATTCTGAAGGACTTATGATGAAAGGTGCTGTCCAGCTCCAGAGAAAGAACTGGTGGAGCCTGAATGTAGACCAAAGATACTTTTTCTTTACTTTCTTTATTTTTATTGGGGTTTTTTGTCTGTGTTTTCTTTCACAGAATGACTTACATGGAAATGTGTTTTGTGTGACTATACATTTATAACGTATGTCAAACTGCCTGCCTTCTCAACAAGGGAGAGAGGGAGGGAATGAGGGAAAGAGAGAACTTGTAACTTAAAATTTGAAAAAAGAATACTAAAAAATTGTTTTTACATTTGTAATTGGGAAAAAATAAAATGTTAAATTAATTTTTAAAATAAAGTCAACTTAGTCAAAGTAAAAGAAACCCATATTTCCATATTAATCATATTTTTAAAAAGCAAGAAAAATAAAGTGAGAAAATTATACTTCAATTAGCATTCAGAGTTCATCAGTTCTCTCTCTGGAGGTAGATAGTATTTTTTCATTATAAGTCCTTTGGAATTGTCTTGGATCATTGTATTGATCAGAATAGCCAAGTCTTTCACAGTTTATCATCATAACAACATTGATGTCACTGTGCACACTGATCTCCGAATTCTTCTCACTTCACTTTACAACACTTCATATCAGTCTTGTTATGTTTTTTTCTGAAAACATCCCTCTCATCGTTTCTTTTTTTTTCTGATTCCAAATTTGGTACTTTTATTTTTTATTAATTTATTCTGATTTATTAACAATCACTTCCATAAGTTTTTGAGTTTTAAATTTTTCTCCCCCTCCCTCCCCACCTTCCTCCTCAAGATGGCTCACAATCTGATATAGGCTATACATATACATTCTTATTGAACATATTTTCACATTAGACATGTTGTAAGGAAGAATTAGAACCAATAGGAGGAACCACCAGAAAGAGAAAATAAAACAAAACAGAAGAAAAAAAATAGCAAATAGTATGCTTCAATCTGCATTCAAACTCCATAGTTCTCTCTTTGGATGTGCATAGCATTTTCCATCATAAGACTTTTGGAGATGTCTTAGATCTTTGCATTGCTGAGAAGGGCTAAGCCTATCAAAGTTAGTCATTGCACAACATGGATGTTACTGTGTACAACATTCTCCTGGTTCTGCTCACTTCACTCAGCATCATTCCATACAAGTCTTTCCAGGTTTTTCTGAAGTCTGCTTGGTCATCATTTCTTATAGCACAATAGTATTCCATTACATTCATATACCACAACTTGTTCAGCCATTCCCCAATTGATGGGTATTCTCTCAATTTCCAATTCTTTGCCACTACAAAAAGAGCTGCTATAAGTATTTTTGTATGCATAGGTCCTTTTCCTTTTCTTTTGATCTCTTTGGGATACAGACCTAGTAGTGGTACTGCTGTTTTATAGTCCTTTGGGCATAGTTCCAAATGGTTCTCCAGAATGGTTGGACCAATTCACTACTCTACCAACAATCCATTAATTCATTATTTTCCCTCATTCCCTCTAGCATTTGTTACTTCTGATAGGTGTGAGGTGTTACTTCAAAGTTGTTTTAATTTGCATTTCTCTAGTCAACGATGATTTAGAGCATTTTTTCACATGACAATAGATAGCTTTTGATTTCTCCTTCTGAAAACTGCCTGTTTACATCCTTTGACCATTTATCAACTGGAGAATGGCCCTTATTTTTATAAATTTGACTTAGTTCTATACTCAGTATATAGTTGAGAAACAAGGCCTTTATCAGAGAAACTTGGTATAAGAATTTTTTATATTATTTCATTTTCTATGATACCTTTTTAGCAATATGTAGTTTCCCTGATTATCCCTTTTAGTTGTTTTTGCTTTTGCTTTGTCTGAGATTACCAATCTCCTGGACTATTGCAATAATTTTTTTTTTTGGTGAGGCAATTGGGTTTAAGTGACTTGCCCAGAGTCACATAGTTAGTGAGTGTTATGTGTCTGAGGCCTGATTTGAACTCGGGTCCTCTTGACTCCAGGGCCGGTGCTCTATCCACTGCGAACAACTTTCTAATTGGTCTCTCTTCCTCAAGACTCTTTTCATTCCAATCCATTTTCCATTCAGCTGCCGAAGTTATTTTTCTAGAGTATAAGTCTGATGATGTAATTTCCCACTCAATGAGTTTCACTGGTTCCCTAATTCTCCTAGGATCAAATATAAATTCCCCTATTTGACATTTAAAACTCTTTGTAACCTGACCCCTTTCTACTTTTCTGGCTATGTTGGCTTATTCACTGTACATCAAACATGCCACTCTATCTTCTTGTCTCTGCCTTTGCAATAGCTTGTCCCCAAGCCTTGGTGTTCTGACCTCTCACCTTTGCCTCTTCATTTCCTTGGCTGCTTTCAAGACTCAGCTCAAATACTACCTTCTATAGCAATTCTTTCCCAATCTCCCCAGATGCTAATGCCTTCTCGTGAATTGCCTTCCATTTATTCTGTATATATCTTGTACTTACCTAGTAACTTATATGTCATTTCCCTCATTGGAATGTATAAGCTCCTTGATGGCAGGCCTGGATTGATGGGGTTGGTTTTTTCTTTTTTTTGCTCTCTGTATCCCCAAACATTTAACACAGCTCCTGGAACATAGTAAGTGCTTAATTAATGCTTGTTGATCAACTGGCTGCTTCTGAGTTGGTCTTGTTGGCTTGCCAGTCAGAAGTCCAAGGGAAGAGCTACTGACTCCTTGTGCCTTAGATTTTTTTTGTATTTAGGCCACCAGTAAGCTATGTTAATAGCCGAGCCTTATACCCCCTGAGCCAATTTAAATTGTCATGGATCATTGTATTGATAAGAGTATCTAAATTTTTCGCAGTTGATTATTGTTATAATATTGTAGTTACCATGTACAGTATTCTCCTGGCTCTGCTCACTTCACTTTGTATTAGTTCATATACATCTTCCCAGGTTTTTCTGAAACCATTCCCTTTATCATTTCTCACAGTACAATAATAGTCCATCACAATCACATACCACAGCTGGTTCAACCATTCCCCAATTGATGAGCATTCCCTCGATTTCCAATTATTTGCCACCACAAAATGAGCTGCTATAAATTATTTTTGTACATATAAGTCCTTTTCTTCCTTTTTTTGGGATACAGACCTATTTAGTGGTATTGTTGGCTCAAAGAGTATGCCCAGTTTTATAGCTCTTTGGGCATAGTTCCAAATTGTTTTCCAGAATGGTTGGACTAGTTCACAGCTCCACCAGCAGATTTTTCCACATCCCTTCCACCTGCATATAATTTAGACATTTGGTCACTGAAGCACTCTGTTAAATGATACTTTATATGCTATGTCTATTATAAGTATTTTTCTTTTGTTTTTTTAAAATGTTTTTATTCATGTCTTTTGTTTTTTACATCATCATAGCTATCCCCAGTATCCCCCTTCTTCCTCCTCCCAGAGAGCCATCCCACATAATAGTGTTTTTTTAAAGACAAAATTAAAAGAAAAGAGGGAAAAAAATAACACAACTAATCAATGTATTATAAAGGTCCAGACATAATGTGTGGGTCTCCCACTACCATGAAGGCTTGCATGGGGCGGGGGGGCAGGAATCCTTCATATCTCTTCATTTAAGTCATGCTTGATCTTTACAGTTTTGCTGCATTCACTATGTGTGTGTGTGTGTGTTTGTCCTTTCCATTTATATGTTTTAATCACTGTGTATATTGTTTTCTTAATTCTGTTTACTTCACTACATATTAGTCCATGTGGACCTTTCCATGCTTTTCTGTATTTATCATATTCATTATTTCTTACAATACAGTAATACTCCATTACATTCATGTACCACAGTTTGTTTAACCATTCCCTAGTTGAGGGGTACCTACTTCCTCCACCCCCAATTCTTTATCACAAAAAGCGATATTTTGGTGTATATATAGGAACTCTCTTCTTATCCATGACTTCCTTGAGGTATAGGCTTAGTAATGGGGTCTCTGGATCAAACAAGATAAACATTTTAGTTACTTTATTTGCATAATTCCAAATTGCTTTCCAAAATGGTTATTATGTATATTCTTAATGTACATTTATTTTCAATGGTACCTTCCTATGATTATCAGGACATGAGGATAATAACCTTTTTCATCTCAAAGTGTCGGAAGTTTCATTTGACACCTGTGCTGCATAATTATAGATTTCAAGTATATCTAGCTTTTGAATCTTGCATACCTAATTTTTTCTACTGAGAACTTTTTCCATTATTTAACCAGCACCAAAATAGTTTTGATGATTACTGCTTTGTGGTATATTTTAAGATCTGGTACTGATAGGTCCACATACTTCCCATTTTGTTTTTCATTATTTCTCTTTCAATTCAATTTAATAAACATTTATTAAATACTTACTGTGTGCCAGGCACTGTGCTAAGTGCTGGGAATACAAAAAGAGACAAAAGACAAAAAAAAGACAAAAGAGACAAAGTCCCTGCCCTCAAGGAGCTTACATTCTAGATTCCTGACCTTTTGTATTTACAGATGAATTTTAAAATTATTTTTTCTAGTAATATGTAAAATCTCTTAGGTAGTTTAATTGGTAAGACATTGAATCAGTAAATTAATTTAGGTAGTATTGTCATTTTATGACAAAGTTTAATAAGAGACAATTGTCTCTTTGTTAGAATGTGCAAGCATTTCATCTTTGTTTAGTTCTTTCCAATTGCATAAATGCATTTACCTTTCTAGGTTTGTCTTGATTCCTATATTTGCATTTCAAAGTTTCTAGTCTTTTCATTAGTGATACTTGAAAGACCTCTCTATTACATTAATGTTCCATTCTCCTCTCCAGGGATCATATTCCGTTTTGCAATGCAAGTTATTCTTAGTTGTCAACCTTTTAGAATATGACATAATTTTCTTGATGATCCTGACTGTGTTTCTTAATTTCTTTCAGCTACTTGAAGTATTTATTTTCTCTGAAAGCTTCAGTTTTGAGCTATAATATTCTTAGGTATTTTTAGTTTGGTATTTCTTTTAGGACAAGATAGTAGGTTTTTTCTATTTTCATTTTCCCCTCTACTTTGCCCTAAATAGATCAGGGCAGGTTTCTTTGATAATTTACTAACATGTAGTATCTAGGGTTTTTGTTTGATTGTGGTTTTCAGTGAGTTTAGTGATGCTTAAATTATCTCAACTTATTTTTCAGCTCAGTTGTTTTGATTATAGATATCTTAAATTTTCTTCTTTTTAAAAATCTTTGTTTTCTCCTAATATTTCCTATCGAGTTATAGAGTCATTGAGTTTCTCCATTCTGTTTTTCAAGGACTCCACTATCTGGCTGAGGTTTTCCAATTTCTGTTCTAAGCTATTTATTCTCTTTCAGTTTTTTCTCCATGTAATTACTTTTTAATTTCTTGATTTATTTTTTTCTAATCACTCTTGTAATTCATATGGCCATGCCATTTTTTTCCTCCTGGGTTCTATTTGTACTTGTGGAGATCCTCTCTGGATTTACGTCCTGATCTTTTTTTAACCAATAGTATTCCTTCATTGTGTTCAATGTCTTTTGATGTTTACTCATATTTGCAGCCTCAGTTGCTGGATTAGGACTTTATGTCACAGCCAAGCTCTAGTCCCTTCTAGCATTCTTAGCTGGGTTATGTAGGCACTCTTGATCCAGTCCCCTCTGGAGTCTGGAAGCTCCTCCGACTGCCACTGCTACTCTGGATGGGGTGGCTAATATCAGGCCTCGCACTTTCCCTAAATCCCTGGCTTCTGTCTCAGTCTCCAGGTGTTCCAATGTAGACGATGGCCTCAGTCTGTCTCCGTCTGCATCCTTTTGCACAATACTCAATGGTGAATTGGTTTTGTTCCTTTTTGGGGCCCTGACAGATATCAGTTGGGTATTTGCAGATTACTCTGGTCTCAGACCTCTGCAAGGGTCCTGGTATCTGAGTCCCCTGAAGAACACTGTAGCTAAAAGACCATATGGTACTCTGTTAGGGTCCCTTCAATATATATTAAATTAGTTATCCCAGCTCACTTGTTTATTCAAAAAACCCATTTTCTTATTTTCATTGATGTCACTGGTTTTTATATCACATCCTTGGGAAAAGGTAATTCTTTTAACAAAAGTCTCTTGCACCTTGCAATTTACAGGCATGTTGGGACTCCAAGTACCCAGTCAGACAGTCACTGTTGTCAATCAAAGGAGTTCTCTGTTCACTATGAGCAAAAGGTTGGGAAGCATGTCTAGTGGGGGCAGGTATCCATCACCTTCTAGTGGGTTTGTGCCCTGTAATGTTATGAAGTTGATGAGGGCAGTGCAGGGTTCATTCAATTCATCAAGGGTTCTCCTAATCAACCCTCCTCACCTCTTTATATATCTGAAAGAGATCACAAATCTAGAGGAAAAGTTAAGATGTAGCCATGTTATGTTGCCAACATGTTTACATTTATCTCCAACACCTGGACTTCTCAACATAGGCCTGAAAGAGCATTTGCTATGTCTATAATGAAAGTACAATATATATGTAAGGGGGGCATATTTAGTTCACTTTCTGCAGCTATAGTTGATGTAGTTACATAAGGCAATGAGGTGTTAACAGAAGTAATGGGATGTTAATGCATTCACAAGGTATTGATCTCTTTATGAATGTGAATACCTTTCTCTAAACATGATACCATGCTGGTGGCATATAATAGGTTCTTGCTGTTTGTTAATAGGTTATTATATTTTGTTAATTGAAAAATTAAATTAAAATTGAAAAATATTTGCTTCAGTGGTTTTTCTTTTCCTAGTGGAAGGTTGGAGAGGAGAAAAAAATGTTTCTAATTGGAAACAAAATTTTTAAAAAGGAATAGGTTGAAACCTTACCAATAGAGTGTGTGTTCTGGAGGGAGGAGGGAGGAGAGAGATGCAAAATGATGAGGAACAAATGCAAGAATCATGGAAACATAAAGAAAATCTCTCCAGCAGCATTTGGCATTGCAACAGAGGAAAAATCTGGACAAACACAGGAAGCTATTTTCCTCTTCAAGGACAAAGTTCATACAGCAGATTTCCTTAGGTAACATCTGTCATGTGGTCATACCAGGCCTCCTTTATGAACTATAGGCTCTCAACAACAAAAAAAAGATGGATGATAAATTAAAGGAGCCACAGTGGCCTGTTTTGATGCCAGAGGAAACAGATCTCTCAGAACAATCAATTCAAGAGTGATTCAGCTGGAAGGACTTGCTTAGGCAGTTTCTGAGAACTGACTCAGGACTCCTCACTCCTCTTCAACAGGGAACACAGCACTCAACCTCATATACCCTTGCTGTAAAATGGAATTGAGTAACGTCTACCTCAGAGCAATAACATTAGGCTAATGAATGTTTTTGAAGTGACTTTGAGAACTATTGATGAGATATTGTATTTTGCAACATAGATTGGCTATGTTTCTGTCAGACTGAAAACTGACTTTATTTTGGTCACCATTTGAGCACCTGCTTGGTACCATGGAACTGCCCTGGGCAGCTTGTGGTCCTCCTCTTGCTTATCAGGACAGCATCCAAACATGGGCTGCCTTTGGATCATGTGGGATTCCAGGGCTATTAACAAAAGCTTCCTCTCCCTGCTTCTGAGAA